AAAAGAAAACTGGGGGCCTCGGGGGGGAAGGGGGGGGGTCCACACCCCCCCCCCCCCCCCGCCTCTTGCCCCCATATTAGTAATATAATGCAGATCTAAAGAATTATAATAAAGTTATTGCTATTTTGAGGATATCTTTATTGTTTTTATAAACCATGCCAAATGGAACTCTAAGTCTAAGCTATTCAACAGCGCCATCTACCTGAGTAACCTATATTCACTAGATCTACAAAATATACTAAAATTGTGGTAGTTCATAGATGATTACATTGATTCCCACTAGGCCCGGGTCTGGCAGAAATTAAATGCAGTATCAGACTATTTTTTTCTTTATTCCCCATCTGAAAGTGATTGAAGCTTTGCCAAAAATCATTACGTGGCATGGAGATCTTGGAAAGATAAGAGAATGTTTCTGCTTAAGGTGAAGGCAGGACAACTCCTGTGATGTCACAGGGGGGTGGGAGAGGGCCTGGCCACCACCTATTATTACCTATCTCTGAAGACAAGGTTAGGATTAGGCAGTGAGTGTTGCTCACAGAAGATATAATCCCTGGATTTCATTCCTAGATTGCATGCTCCTTTTCATTTACCTCTAGGAATTTCAACAAATGACCATGTAAGTATTTGCATGTTTTATAAAATAGAAGTATTTTTTTCTGAATGTAATGTAGAAATTTGTTTCAGTTTATTCAGTCAACCTCTGTTTTCTTTATACAGTAGATTGATTGTAATTTTTACCCTGCACTGGATAAGCGACATCTACATTACCTTGTACTGGATAAGCAGAATCTGTATCTGCACAATTCTATCCAATTATTTCTGTTAATTAATATGTTTGTTGAGGAGGAATACTAAATGTGTAGCTGCCATAAATATTATTTAAGTAAAAATATTTGTCTGGTTGGGCTATGACCAGGAGAGTGTATTGCCTTCAGCAGTATTTCTCAATCCGGTCCTTGAGGACGCCTAGACGGTCCACGTTTTCGTTCCCTCCCAGCTCCCTGCCTGACAGGCCACATTCTGCTCCCACCCAGCTCCTGAGAAAAAAAACTTGGACTGTCTAGGGCTCCACGAGGACCAGGTTTGGAAACACTGGCCTACAGATCTTTGAAAAAAATTGGCTTCCTTATAATAGAGGTCTCTGCAGTGTCCATTCCAGTTCCTATAGCTTAACTGCCTGAACCTATATAGCTTGTGTTGGTTCAAGTTTACTAAAACATTTAAGTTACTAAAATTTTATTACTATGGATACATTTTCACATGAGATTATGTAGACATTGAAGTCTTTTGTAATGAAAGTACAAAGAAAAACATATATTTGTATATATTATATATACAAACGCTCCTCTACTTACGAATGAGTTACGTTCCGAACGGCCGTTCGTAACTTGAAATGTTCGTAAGTCATTATTCAACATCATTTTAAGGGTATACGCAAGTACAAAGAACTAGGATGCTGGGAGTTCGCACGCTACACTGCTGCACGACGGGAGTAGCGGCCAGAAGCCGCACTAGGCGGAACTGGAGAGCAGAAAGAAAAAAATTGATGTTGCGGACAGGAAACGGGAGCCCAAGGAACACAATTTGGACTTACAGTCAGTCCTCTTCGTTCGTTCGTTTCATGTCTGAAAGTTCGTAAATTGAAAGTTTGTAAGTAGAGGAGCGTCTGTACATATATATAAAATAAATATTTTGTTTCATTATCTCAACACTAAATGATTATTAAAGGATTGCTTTCTTGATATTTTTGATGTTATGCAGCAATGGCAGACTTGGGTTCAAGTGAGGAGTTGAGGAAGATCTCTGCACTGAGGAGGAAAGAGAAGGAGATAAAGGAAAACCTGAGTCAGAAACTTGAGGAGCTGAAGGGCATCTGCTTGAGAGAAGCAGTAAGAACCTTCTAAGCACCAGGCTGATCATTGAATTTAAGGGAAATGGGTGATCCAAGGCTGAAGAAGGTATTAGAATGTTAACCATTTACTGCTTGCTTTGCAGGAGCTGACTGGCAGGCTTCCGGAGGAGTTCCCCTTATCTCCAGGTGAAACGGCCCCTACGGTCCGCCACAGGGTGGGGGCCATGTTCAAGCTCAACGACATTCCCCTGAATGGGGTATGTATGAAAATTCATATCTAGGTTTTTTTTCCCCCTGCTACTTGTGATTTATTTTTAACATTGGCTTCCTTCTGCAGCATGTATTGGGACAGCGAGAATTACAGATTGTGTTGATGTGTGTTGTGATTGTGTATTGCGAGGAAAAAATGCGGCAGCTTGTGTCAACCATTCACGCTTTACTTACCACTGCATTTGTGCCATTATGTCATCATGAAACAAGCCAAACAAGTCGAGGCTCTTAAACAAACAGTGGGTGATTAATGTACAAGGAATAGTGTATCTGTAATAATATAAGGACAACAACAACAGTAAAGAAACAAAGCCTAAATAACTGAACAGAGCCAGCTAACTTCAGATACCCTGCAGGACCCTTACTTGAGGAGCTTGGAGATGGGTTATGCTGTACAGCAGAAGATTGTGGAGGCATCTAACAGTCTGGCAGCTGAGGCTAAACAGCACAAGTCAGTGAAGAAGGCGAGAAGGAGAAACTGCCTGAAAGCTATGCGGAAACTTAGTGACATAAAGGAAGAAATGGACCACTACAGTGCTCAAATGAAAGAGACGTCAACACACACTAGTTGCCCAATCACCGACGGTAAATAAAAGCCTGAATCATAAATTATCACTCTTTATGATGTTAATTTTGTTCCCCTTTCAAAATGTATGTTACATGTTGTGTGTACACCCTTGTATTATTTTAAAAGCCACTGTTACTTTTGCTTTCACATGAAAATCAGTCTCTGTTTTGTTGTATCTCATATGTGTACAGAGATCACTGTTTATTTTTAGTACTAGCTGACCTCAAATGAAGTTAATCCCTCTCGTAATGGCTGGTTGCCTCAGAAAGATAATAAAGACATTACGAGTGAGTAAGGACCGGTGTAGCAATACCGCATTCTCCTTCCAATCTTCTGTTTAAATAGTGGAACTTCTTATGAAAAGTCTAGCTAGTCTTCCTCACTGTCAGTGTCGAATATCTGTGTGATGTGCTTGACAGTATGATATTCTTTTGGGCACAGGCACTCATTGTGAGGGTAGCTTGGTGCAGTGCTCATCCCAGCAACTGGCACAGTCTTCATCTAGTGACCTGCAAAGCGATGTGGCCTCCGGCAGGTACAGTATTTTCACTGATCTCATGGATGCTGGTAGTTAGAACCCACGTGATAAAAAAAAAAATGACACTGTAGCTTTAAAATTCCCTTTGAATGTGCTGCAGATGGAGCTGCAGTGACACTGCAGAGGGTCCAAATGCAAACCCCGGAAGAATCTTATTGGCCCATAGTAGCCCTTTCAAAGATCCATCCAGATACCCCAGAGTCATTACCCAGCATTCCCACTGCAGCACCAGGCTAAGGTACAATAGCGCAGTGTATGTGCTACTGATTTTTGGTGGCTGGTGTTGAGGAAAAAGTAAAAATTGTATTGTTATATTTCTGCCCTGAGGAAATAAAGGATTATAATATGGCTAATTAATGTAAATTTTACAGATTTGAGAGCGATGACCAGCTATTTCTGCAGTTTGATGAACATTCAAAGGCAAAGTCTAATATCACAGCCGTCTTAACCACCCTGGCCCATACCAGCACTGGCAATGATGTCCTGGACCACAGTTTGTCGGGTTCGAACCAGCTCAATAAAGATTTCAATTGTCCAGCATACAGTCCCAATTGTACTCTAGACTCTAGCATCTGGAGGCAGCCATATCATAAAAATGGAATCATCCCTGTCAGCTGTAGTAATATGCCCAACCTGGTGTGTAACATCTGCTGCCCTGAGTACCAGGTCCTGCCTTGGAGATCTTCCACTGCACATCGCTTCGTTGGGTGCTCCTGCGGTATTCACTCCAGCTCTGATTACGGAACCTGTCAGTCTGCCCATCATCAGGAGGGCGGCCATGTTATTAGGCCTGCATGCAGAAATGGACACAGTGTATATGAGGAAACAGAGAGCTTCCCCCACAGTTTCTATACCACAGTCCCTAGGCAGGTATCCAAGAGCATGCAACGGGCCCGTGTGGCAGAACACCTCCAAGACTGGTATCAGCGTAGTGTGTCACAATGGAACTTGGCCTGCAGTCTGCAGGGTAGGTTTACCTATGAGAGGAGTCCTATGAAGAACCTGGGCTACCAGACCGTATCATCCCATCTGAGATACTCAAGGAAGGCTCCTTCCAAAAGCTCAGGTGAGATTCTTATATCCATGAAAGCCACATTCATATAACATGTAAATGACATATTTACACAAATCTAAATCTTCCTATAGTTTCTGTTTTGTACTATAATTGCTGTGTTAGACTTTCACTATGTTGAGATATTGCATCACATTTTGACATCTAATCTCTCTTGTTGTGAAGGTATGAAGCAGCTGCCTGATTCCTGAAAACTGTGATGCCTTGGCACGATGGGTTCATTTGGAAAAGGGTGAGAAACTCGTATCCTGTTACAAGTGGTCTGTGTCACCTGCAGTGAGCCATTTGTGTGCGGCCTGCTGTGCCTTCACCTGAACGACTGCTCTGAGAAGTACTTTTTCTTGGAAATGGACCCCCAGAACAAGGCTGGGCAACAGTACAACAGACCCTCTTTTAAGATATTTACATGAATTTCGTAGTTGAGCACTTTTGGACGGATGAAAATTCTGCAGGGCTGAGGCTGTACAGAACTGCAACTGAGAATGTTTTTGTTTTACATAGCTGAGGCCTGTGTTTATTTTGGTTTATTTGGCCTGTAAGGCAACAACAGTGCAGTCTTTTTTATATATTTCTATCATCCAAATAACAGTATACTTTTGGTCCATTTCTGGTTGAACCAATTTTGCTATATCAAAATTAATAACAAAGAAATACATAAAGCTTGCACTATACCTTAAACTTGTAGCAGATTAAAATATTTGTGTCTTGTTTTGCTTTGAATGTTACACACTTCTGATCATACATCCACTTGAACAAAGTGAACCAGTTGGTGAAGGACTCATGACTAGCGGATAGATGTCTGGAAATCAAGTGAAACACCTTTAGCAGGTGCTGTCTAACCACAGTCTGACCTTGTAGTGTGATCATTCTGTCTGCTGTCTGTATGTGCTCTCGCCCACCATCTTGTGTTCTGAGGGTAATCTGAGACGTCACAGAAACAAAAGAGCTACTGTGCACTGTGCTGAGACTTGTAAATCCTGCAGATGACTGAATTATGCTTAATGAATTTTAGAATGCCTTTAGTGTTTTAGACAAGGCTTCTTTTACTAGGAATTCAGACTGTTAGACAGATCATGAAATGAGTCACATACTGTCCTGTCCTGAATATTGTGGCTATGGGTAGAGTGACTAAAGCATCTCATGATGGTAAATGGTAAAATAAAAAAAACAAAACAAAAAAAACAAAACAAAAGAAAAGCATCTGGTTAGACCAAACTTGTAGAAGCACGACTACGCCAAAGGGCATTGTATGGCTTGGTGGAAACAGGAATCCGGAGACAAAGCCATTTACACTTTACATGCATGGGTGGTTCCCTTATACTTTCTCACAGATTTCACATTTAATGTTACCTTCAACCCACTTGACCAGATGTTTCCATATGGAAGCAACAGATGTCACCTCCTTCACAGATCAGACAATAGACTCTCACTGTATTCGGTGCCAATCGTTCTACTGGAGCTACAAGTCACGACTGTATTGTTATGCCACCGCTACCAGCATGGGAGGGACTGGTAGCCGGGGCAGCTGCCCTAGTGCCCGGGCCCCCACCAGCGACGTCGACCCCCCCCCGACTAAAAAGGTCTCATATATATGCAAAAACATCGGTGCAGATAAAGGCACTGATGTCATACAGATTGTGTGAGTTCTTGACATGCTACTTTTATATCTCTCATTTTTATGTATACAATCTCACACACACACACACACGCACACAGGTTTGTGTATCTTTGTGGGGACATTCCTTTCATTAGAAAAATCTAATCCCCACAATGTCAAAATAACAGATTTTTATCACACGTTGTGGGGGACAGTTTGTCCCCACTATGTAATATAAACCAAATACACACACACACACACACACACACACACACACACACACACACACAAATTTGGTACAATATTTAAAACAATTTTGAAATGTAATGGTTTTGTAATGTTTTGTAGTCAAACGAGGCAAGTATTTAATAAAAAAGCATGTTTGTGGAATCTGCTAACTACTGCAGTGCATGATGGGTATGATATTTGGAGGTTACTGCTGTAACTGCCATAGGCAGGATGTATGTGTGAATTTGGAAGGGGGGAGGGGTCCATTTTTGCCCCAGGGCCCAGTATATAGTTGTTCTGCCACTGCCCACTGGACGGAATCCTCGCTTTCATAAAGAACAATTTGCATTCATATTAAGAACATACTAATTTTGTAAAATGTTACAAATTTGTGAAATGGAAGACTGAATGTTTAAAGTTGTTTATGCGTTGGTAGAAAAGAAAGCTTTGTCACTGACATACATGTGAAATGCTTCCGTTTTAACAAGAGATGCCAATAAACGCTGGAGCTGTTTATTTTTGTCTGATGCTTGTACCTCTTCAGGGAAGGAGGTTCTTCAGTATGATGGAGTGCATTGTAATTTAACTGAATAGATTTTACATAACATACCTTTATTCAGAACTGACATTTTTCACTATGATTTAAGCATCGCACACTGATTGTATTCTAAATTTGATTTCACTTTAGGGGTGATCATACACCTTCTTGTATTATGTGAATGTCCAACCCCCCAGGGCATGCTAACATTATAGAATGCAGGGAAAATGAGACTGCTTTAATAAAAGCAGGGAGTAACCTGTCACCATGGCCAGAATCCATCAATGAGCAAGTTATCCAGGCAGGGCAGTGTAAGCTGGCACACTGAATTCTTGTCACACTTCCATGTGACTGAACCAGCACTCCAGCTCAAACTGGGCACCATGTGGACAGGTAGGGAGCAAAATAAAGGAGATGGGTGGTAAGAACATGCCTAGATGCATTGATAGACGAACACAGCAGGCCATACGGGCATGTACAGCAGCACTAACAGCCATTGTTACAGTGTTGTTTTTTGAGGTGTGGATGAACCAAGCTAAAATAATAGCTTTAGTAGGGATTGGTGAGAACAGTGAGAACAATTAATTGGTGAGAACAGTGAGAACAATTAATTGGTGAGAACAGTTCGGCATCCCAAATCTAAACAGGCAGACTTCTCCACAATATAGCGGCCCTATAGTTAAAGCCTTCAGCGCCAGCTACTACGCCATGTATATGTAGGACAAGGAGACTTGCATTCTGTGATTTGAATGTACGATGTGGCTTGTAAACATGAATCAGTTCAGATGCTTGACCTTTAAGTGCCTTAGATGTAAGGAGAAGAACTTTGAAATCAGTTCTGAACCTAATTTGAGGCCAGTGCAGGGGACTAAGAGCAGGGATTATGTATTTATAATTATCTAAAGCAGTTGTAGCAACAAATAAAACCTAGTGGCAAAGCTGTATATAAAGAATATTGGTCATCTCTTCTAAATACACCATAGATAATAAAGATATGTAACAGATCTCAGTATTTTAATTCTGTCACTACAATCTGCACACACAAAGACATAGGCACAGAGACACACATACAGACCTGTACTCATATCTGATTGAGGATGTTACATTCATTTCTATGGGCAAAACCCTCATCCCAACAATGACACTAACCCCTACCAAGCCTTAACCATACGTAACCAAAGAAAATACAAGTCTTTTGGCATTTTTTGTTTTCTTATTGCAATTGATTTTTAGAAAACTGAATTTCCCCTTGTGGGGACCGAAAAAAATGGTCCCCACAACGTTAAAATAATAGGTTTTGGTCCCCACAATATAAAGTATATTTGAGACACAGACACAGACACACAGTTCCTTTTGACTACCATCAGTCAGCTAGGTTTTCTCTTGTGATTCCTGATACCCCCGACTGACATACGGTATCTTGACGACTCACAGCGGTGTTAGCAGACTGACCATTTGACCTTCAAACTTCGACTGCAACCAACTCGTCATGCTCTTTTAATGAAAGACATACATTGAGAATAATTTCTTCTTTTTCATTTTGCCTTCTTTTCCCATTATTTTGCACAGCAAACACTTTCAGTTGCCATGAATCCGTTTCTAATACTATTACCCACCAACTGATTGTTCTCAGCCTACTCTGGAAACAGCGTAGATTAAGTTATTTGCTTTTTCCCATCCCGAACTTTAACAGCCACTGTTTTGAAGCTCTCTCTGACGGATATCCTTACTCATGTCGCGGAACTTTGGACAGGTGGTTCCATATGTTCTGGATTGTGAATATGCCACCTGTTTATGTCAATCAAGTCTCTCTCTCTTTCTCAAGTTAGTGGCCATACAGAAATATCAGGGGCACTTAACCAGCTGACTCAAGCTGCTGAAAAAAGAATATGTTAGCATCTTTCCTTCTTGCACCATAAATACCTTCCCCTCCAACGAATGTGGCTTAATTTTAGGACTGCATGTGGAGTAGAGCAGCTATTCTCCTGACCGGAGTGGAAGCCTGCGCTATCCTGGCTTAAACACTCTGATCAAACTGGGTGGTTTTATTATTGTTGCTTTTATCTTATTATAATTTAATCAAAGTTAGAAGTTAGTGGGAAAATGTCTAACCACAGCGACCAGGAGTCCTACACAGATGATATCGACGAGGATGAGATCTTAGCCAACCTCTCTCCGGAGGAGCTAAAACAGCTCCAGAATGAGATGGACGTTATTGCACCGGACGAGTTTGTACCAGTAGGGCAGCGACAAAAAGACCAGACTGACAAGCCTCCAACGGGGTCTTTCGACCACAGGTCTCTGGTGGACTACCTCTACTGGGAGAAGGAGTCAAAGCGCATGCTGGAAGAGGAGCGAGTCCCTGCCACTCTGCTTCCCAGTGAGGTGAGTGTCCTCTCCTAGCCTTTCAATAATCATTGCACAAATGTGTTTATTACGCATGATCAGAATCTACTGGCCTGAGATGTATCCCTATTAATTGCTCAAGTATTCAATTCAAGTATTTTGCTTCCAATGACATTAATCATTGAAACCTTAATACTGCTTTTTGTTCTTAATTTGTTCACAAAAATTTCTTGTTGACAAAGATTTAATCATGTATGAACAATATGACTTCATGATATTGTGATTCAAATTTGCAATCTCAGTATCTGTATTTCTCTGCAATGCCGTATACATTTATTCAAGCTTAAAAATTTGTTTCTGTGTTAGAAAACTATACCAGAATGCACTGAGGATGATGACCAGAAGGAATATCATGAGGATGAGGAAAATGTGTGTGAAACAGCAGAAGAGAAAACTGAAGAACTAGAGAAATGGCAAGATGAGCTAACAAAACGGGACGACAGCAATTCCCCAGAATTTCCACCGAAATGTGAAGAAAACCTGTCTTCTGACACAGACATCCTACTTCCACCATCAGAGTTTGCAGATGCACAGGAAAATGAGGATGAGATCTCAGGACCAAAGGGGAGTGATCCAGAACCACCCAGTGACCCCCAGCCGTGTCTCCTCCAAACAGACACAATATCTATGGCTACTGATGCAGCTGCAGAAGAACCAAACCCAGAGGAACCTGAAGTAAAGGAAGAGAAGAAAATATCCAAACTAAATATTCCAAATAAACTTGCTCTGGGAGGCAACTTCATCAAACTGACAGCAAGGCCTTCTGGGAATGAAACTAACCTGGAAAGCACCCTGGACAAAATCCGCAACAATGGCCCTGACATCAAAGAAGTTAACCTGAACAACATTGAAAACATTCCCAAAGACATGCTCGGGGACTACGTCAATGCCCTGAAGAAGAACAAACATGTGACGACCTTCAGTATCGCCAACACTGGCGCTGATGAAAGCATTGCCTACCTGTTGGCTAATATGCTGCGGGAAAATCGAAGCATCACCACACTGAACATTGAGTCCAACTTCATCACGGGAAAGGGCATCATTGCTATCCTGCGTTGCCTGCAGTTCAATGAGACACTGACCGAGCTACGCTTCCACAACCAGCGCCACATGCTGGGCCACCATGCTGAGATGGAGGTGTCCCGCTTGTTGAAGGCCAACCACACCCTGCTGAAGCTGGGCTACCACTTTGAGCTGCCAGGGCCTCGCATGGTAGTGACAAACCTGCTGACGAGAAACCTTGATCGCCAGCGGCAGAAAAGGCACGAGGAGCAGAGACTGCAACAGGCGAAGGAGCAGAGGCAGCTAATGGAGATGTACGAGAACTCCTTCAACCTGCCACCGGGCCTGTTGGAGATGCTGGGAGGCTATTTACCCCCTATGGAACTTGGACCCTTACCTCCGCAGGAGGAAACCCCAAAGCGGCCTGTGGTGGCTACCCCACAGGGTGAATGCCGACAGGAGCCTCACCAGCCCTCAAGTCCCAATTCCAGCAATCCTCTGAAGGACGTGCAGCTTAAAAAGACCCCCAAACGACGAGACCCCCTGCTAGAGCTCAACCTCAGAGAAGACAGGAGCGATGAACGACCAAATGTCCAGCTTCGGAGGACACCGCGGCACAGGGACGCGAGCGATCAAGCAGACGGGGACGAGAGAGCCAACCTTAAAGACGTGATAAAGACTCTGAAACCTGTCCCACGTCGACGACAGCCTCCCAAGGTCGACCTGACCCCCCGCGATCTACTCCTGAGTGAAATACGGCAGAGCAACGTAGCCTATCTCAAATCGGTGAGTGGTACCGACAGTAATAACATTAGCACTGTATTGGCAAAAGGGAAATTGCTAATTCGAATGGTGAAGAAATTAATTCAAACTGTATTAAGCATCAAATGTACATGCGCGTCATCTTATTTTATTAAAATCAGCAGGACTAGAGTTTATTTGCAAAAAACTGAAAATTTCACAGCAGTTGCTGTTTAGAGTCTAGCAGTCATAACACCCAGGTGACACTGTAGTCTATTTTCAGTACTTCCTATGTCAGTTGCTGGAGTGAATTGTGTATTTGGAAGTGACTACTGCCGTCATTTTAATTTTTGACCTTTGCTTTAATCCTTTTGGTCTGTCTCTCCATGGATATTTCCCCTTCTGGCGGTGAAGCTTTTTTTTATTATTATTCTATAGGTGCCCCTCCCCAAAGAACTTGAATCAAGTGAAACCAGCCTTTTCTGATGGACGTATGCACAGGACAAGCAGCTGCTGAGAAGCCTGTGTGTGTGCATGAACCCTACAGTCACCTCTGGAAAACTTGCAGGTTGCTCAGCTCATGAAAGCCATTCAAGAGTCTATGGCTGGCAGATCACACACTGAAAATGTTTTCAATTGCAGGACAAAACCCAGAGACAAAAAAAAATTCCACGCCAACCTCAGTTTGCATGTTCTCCCCATGCTTGCACAGGGTTTGTCCTGTAGTCCTAAACAGGCAGTTAGGCATCTTTAGGTTGCCCATAATGTGTGAGAGTGTGCTCTGTGATGGGGGGGGGAGGGGGGCACCATATCCCGGGGGATTCCGGCCTTGTGGCCTGTAAAAGACTGTAAGGCCACAGAACCTTATTCTGGATACAGGGGTATGGAAGATGAATGTAAGAAATGCTTTGTTAAATTACATATAAGAATCACTCCATCAATGTCTCTTTAAAGCTGTAATTTAGAAGGTAATTTACATTTCCTAAGGAAAGAAATGCAAGATTTTATCTAAAAAGTAATCAAGGGACATCTGTGATTTCATCTATGTCAATGGTATTCTACTTATGTTTAGCAAATAAGAATGTGGTTTATCAGAACATTTGTTTAACCAGGACATTCTAAGGAATAGAAAAAGCAATATTAAAATATACAAAGAATACTATATAAAGAAAATATAAAGTATGTAAATAAGCATCAACACACAAGAACAGTCAGTTTCAACTTCCCCTCCTTCCAGGTTTACTATTAAATTCTACTGTTTTTTATTTATTTGAAGTACATATAAACCTAATTTAAAAAAAAAGACTGCAAGTAGATTCCTCAGCATGCAATTGTGGTGCTAAACTCAGGCAACATGCTATGCATTGCTATCCATGAAAGCCTTTAAAAGTGCAAGGGACTGCATCATCACAGGTCAGTGCTCTACAAAGGGACTGAGTTACATAACCTTACCAGCGTTTGAGCAGTTAGCCCTCTTCCCCACAAAAAAAATACAGATGCATATAATTCTTTGCATACTTTACATGGCTTTGTGTGCTCAAAGAAAAGACAAGACTGCAATACAAAGTCTGATACAACAAGCAAAACAACCAAAACAACCAGATTGCCACAAACGCTCCATGTATAAACTGCTCAGGCAGTTGTTCATTAATTCTCAAAAATTACATAGCCATAGGCTAGTTGCAGCTTTTCCTTTGGATGTGAAGACAATGGAGGAACTTATTGCTAATTTCTAACAAATACATTAAAAACTCATCATTAACATAAGAAAAGGTGCTGAAGGTCAAAACAAAAAATCTAAACCTCAATTTGTGCCCAGATTTGGTTAACGGACAATGTGGGTCTAATTCGATCAGACATGACAGTGCTGGGGGTGCAGTAAATAGCCATGGCAAATTACCAGCCAAGTATACTGAGCCACAAAGCATCGTGTCTGTGCCAACTATTCCAAGCCCATCCCAAGTCATAGAATATGTCAGCATGTTACACTGGGAAAAACTGATATAAAGAAAAGAAATAAACAACCACAAAATTCCAGTGCCACCCAAAAGCTTAATAAAGCAAACATATACCCAACTTCTAAGAGGAATGCAGCACCAGGCCTTCAGAATATGTGCGAAACAAACTTCCGTCAGGTTTAAAACTGAAGGACACCGACTTCTGCCCATTTTAAATTCAATTAAATTCCTTCCACTGCAATATGTAACCTTCTTGACCACATCTGCATAACCATGACTTTTTATGCAAATACATAGAACGTTAATATATTTTGGTTTTGCGGGGTTTACATTTAATTCCGAAACGGTCCGCTAGGTTAGCTTTTTGTAAAACGCAGCAGAGATGCAGTGACTGAGGGTCGACTTCCTGATACAACCCATTGGCCTCAGCGTCCACATCACCGGTTTAGCTTTGTCTCCAGGTAGTCCTGGATCTTGTTGATCCTCTCTTCTTGCTGGTCCAGAGCATCCAGGATGATTCCCATGGGGGTCTTCTTCAGGCCCACTCCCTCTATTCTGTTCTCCAGCTTGTTCTTCATGTTCCTCAGGCGCAGCGAAGCATGGGCTAGGATTACTGTGCGAAAGGGCAGGGAGAGCCAGTTTAGTCTGAGATGAGACCTCCCCCCCCCATCCCCAAAAAAAAAATATCAATACAATAAACACCCAGATTGTCAGAAATTTATCAAAAATTAACTACATTTCTCACAAAATCATGCAGAAGTACACTACGTATGTATGTATGTATACACAATGTATGACTTTAGCAACTGTCTCTAAACTGAAGTATGTACTTTCTGCTATCCCCCCTGATCAAGCCGGGAATGTTTTCCTTCTGGTCACCCTGTGTTTACAAGGTCTTTCTCCCTGGCAACTGCCTCACATGATCTGAGTGCTACAGAGAAGGGCTTTGGGGCTCTGCCTGCTGTGCACTGCCCGTCACTCACCCTAAGCTTAAATCCTTCATTCCAGCTCTGCCCCCCCATGCTATGTCGGGATTTAGAAGGCACTTTGTGTCACGGTGCGGCCAAACGCCGTCAACGTTTTACGAAGACTCTTTAAAAGCAGGAGATGCTGCCACTGGCGAAGTTTATAGTGTAACTGTTGACGGAGGAACACACTTACTTAGCAGTGGGAAAGAGATGCCGAAGACGAAGACCATGACTCCCTCGCACAGGGACAGGAGCATGTAGCTGGCCCCCAGCACGGCGATGACAAACAGCATGGGATTATTCTTCTTGAAGTTCTTCACGACAGACTTGTTTTCCGCTGCCCACACTGAGCCCACGAACACCAGGGACACCACTGCGCCACCCAGCACCATGCCGATGGGGTTCAAAAACCTGCAGGGTGGTAACAGATTAAGACGCAGCTCATGTATTCAGCTTCATATTCTCCATTTTATCACCACCTAGTGGCGAAAAATGTTTAAACACCTCCTTCTAAAAATAATTTTAATCACAGTTTAAATTTTAACATTACTAATGCAAGCCCATCCAGGGTATAGCCCAGCCTTGTGGTTTGTACAGCCAGGGAATGGCTCTGGCAGGCACAAGCTGATTGGGTGGGTTACTCATATGTAAAATGAGACTAAAAAGTACATGTTACTTTATGCATAAAAGCCAGAAGAAATACAGCTCTTTGGTCAACTGTTCAACAGTATTTATTGTGCATTATGCAAATAAAACTATGAATATTCTAGGACATTTAAACTTTTGATCCCAATTTCATTATTTCCATATTACTAACTACATGGCCGTAGATCACAATTAACCGGAAATGTTTCTATGTGACATCGCCCCGAAAGGCACACCTGCTCTTTTGCTGCTGAAGGGAACAACACAGTGTTGAAACATCAGCAATGAGTCACGAGAGCATACATGCTGGGCTGGCGCTACTGGGCTATACTTAGGGAAGAACATTCAAAATTTCCAGACTGGGATGAAATGAAGGGGACCGAGAACGCCACCTCTCCAACAGCAGAGAGAAGCACACTGGATGACTCATGCAAAACATATTTTCCAAGTTTTCCAAGTTGAAACCGCTGAGGACTCATATTTCCATTACAGTTTCCCTCAATCTTTTACATATGAAAAGCGGATTTCAATTATATGCTGTTTATGGTAAAGCAGGGATATATATTCAAAACCTGTACCAAACAAGGAAGCTAAATATTAATGGTATATGTAAAATGGCAATAGAAGCAACCAGAAATCCTGTTTATTTGTTAATCAACAAAAACACATTCCTGTGTCCAGTTGTTAGCTGCAGAACCTAAAGAAATCAGTGAAGCTTTGGACGCTGGAGAATTGTTGATTTAGGATAACTGAAAAACATTCAGACCTCAAAATCTAATAATATTTCAAAGGCTGACAAGATGATGATAGCAAAACATTTCCCATAGTTACACCTTCATACATGGAATTAAATAACAGCTGCGTTAAGAAGAGGGGCTCTGGGGGCAGGATACTAGGCGTTCCCTTAAAGCGAGTAATGTTGCACTGACCCAGCCCAGTTAGACTGAACTGGTACAGAAACTATCTCTCTGGAGGACCCAAGCCTATTTTTGTGGCCTTGTGGCCCAGATCCCACATCAATTATACAGTTTCTGTAGGGCACTGGTGCTCAGGATTACCTGCACACTCTCCCAATGTATGGAAATGGTCACAGATGAGGACAAAAATATATTACTTACACTGGGGGAAAGTGGAGTTCAATGCAGCTAAAGTTGCAATACACCACCTCACCCACTCACACTTATATGAAACCAGTGCATGGTTCTGCATAGTTTAGCTCATCATTACTGAAGATAACCATTAACAACTAGTCCTGAGGTGACATCATTTCATCTGTTGTCCTTCTTGAGTTTCTTAGTTTCCTACTTTATCCTAGTAGTAAAGATTGACAGTTTCCCCACCCACACTTAAAACGTCCGTGCTGTTCAGTCTGATAATCTGGAAAACAAGCACTGATGAGGTTAGCACCTCTGCTCTCAAGTCAGCGACTTGAATAAGCTGAATCCAGCACCACAGACTCATTCCCAATATAGCCCCAGTAACTCACAGAAATATGCAGAAGTGAACTGCATTACAGCAGTACTGGGAAGTGACCAAATTGATCCTTAAGAAATATGTATTCCAACATCCTGTAAATCATACTAGTTTATGTTTTGATGCATCTTCACTACATACGCTTTTAAATAAAGCTGAGCTGATATATACGATATAAACAGGCATTACATTTATATGAATAGGCCAAATTTTACACATATTCCAAAATAAGAAAACTAAAAAGACCGTCCCACAGACGTTATCCAATGGAGTCGCAGTGAGACTGCACTTCCCGGAAGGTTTTCATTGGCAGATCTAAATTATATTTCTATGCGCAGGAAACAAAAAGTAATCGGTATGTTAATTTAGTCAATACTAAAGGTACGACACCGTACATAAAACTAATGCGCCAAGATGCAACCTTTCATAACCACTCGATAAAGCTGTAGTGATAACAGCAGGTTAGTTCTCGAATACATCATGGAGTACGATGAAAAGGACGCCTAAATCCTGTCATGCAGAGAGGGGAGATAGTGTACGTAAATACATATTCGCAAAATCGCTATTATGACACAGATGACAGTCAAAAACTAGCTTACCCCACAATCAGGAAAAACACAATGGCCACCAGGAAATAATTTGTCTGGTAGTATAAAAGGTTGTTGATCACCCTGTTGTTCCACTTGGCTAAATCGGCGAAGTCAGGTTTGGCGAATCGATCAGGACCGGGAAAGAAATCATCCCAGGGTCTAAATGGTGCAAGCTCCACTTTGGCCATCTCTCCCAGTAAGCTACGTTAACCGTACAACTCAGCTGCTGAAGCACCAGCTATGGCGACCCGCAAGTCAGGCTGAGATCGCGGACTGCTCCAGATTCTCGCGATAACACGTCAAAGAAATGACGTAATCTCCCTGTAGGCATAATAGTGACCTTTTCTGCTTTCTCCTGAGTTAAGTATTTGGGTTGCGATTTTCATGAGGAATTATTGTCCACTATATCAAATCATTAGAACATATACCAACAACACAGAATAAAGAAGTAAAAGTAAGTAAAATGTGTATGTGAATAAATAAATGTAGATTAAAAATAAATCAAAACTAAATGTGTTAAAAAAAGTAAAACGTACAGATATGAATTTAAAAAAAAAAACGTAAAAGTTTACACTGTGGTAAATTTCGTCTATAGACATACCGTAACGACTGGCAGGATCAGCCCAAGGCACTTATATGCCCTGATGGTAAATGAAAAACTTGTGAAAACAATGAGCTTTTCACTGAAGGCTGTCCTGTCGAAACAGTATCATGGTGCGCATAGGTGAAGCTCCTCATGATGATGGCCGAAGACTTAGTCAGTATTTTCCCCAAGTACCACACTGTCTAACAGGGGGTCAAGGCTGATTCCCAGCATATATAGCAGATCCTGCAGAAACATATAAATACGTATATATGTAGTATATGATACCATACGTACAGCAGTGTTTACGTTCTCCATTTTTGTGGACGCACAGGAACTACCGTCAAACCGCGCGGACCGCAAGGCATCCTGGGATAATATGATTCTGGCGCAATATGGCGGATGGAGAGGAACCGTAAGTGTCGCTGAAACGAGAAGCAATTAGTAGGACAAACGACGCTTTTAGTCTCGTTGTCGCCAACTGAAAGTACAAGCACGTTTGACCCTTCTTTTACTCTCTCTTTGTAGGGAGAAGAAAAGAAGGAGAATAGAGGAGCTGGCTGAGAAGTTAGTGATGAAATGCTAGAAACTCGTAGCAGGTTTGAGGTTACGCAGCGCAGGCAGTTGAGTACGCTTTGGTGTGGAAAATTCATAGGTTGCTTCAGCCACCCTTCTCCTAGCTGGCTACCAGCTGACTACCTGTCAAAACAACGCGTCCACTTTGTAATCAGATGCGTTTGGAAACTGTCCGAAAACGCTAAGAGATTGGCTACATGTTGTTCTTATTCGTCCTGATTTAGCTAGTTGTCTGGGCATGACCGTAGGTTTTTTTTTTTAAAAACTTGTGATGATTCTTCACATTTTAATATATAACAACTCGACTTGCGAGCCTTTTTCTAGAAAGGTTAGTTTCCGTTTTAATAATGTAATTTAGAAGTTTCTTTGGTCGAAATATGAAAGTATAAGTTGTCTGACGTGGAAGGGATTTATCGGTGCCTGGTTAGTTAGTGTCACCAGTGATTGCTTTTTCTGATGGCTTGATAGTGTTGAATTTCTTTAGTGTCTGTATCTTTGCTTCTAGGCTACTCTTATGAAGTGTTTGTTTTCGAAATTAAACAAGCTATTGACTTATATTGAATTAGGTAGTTCTCGGAACAATTGCAGGTAGATGCGATGTATAGGTGAGAAACGTCAGAATGGCAGATCTTAAGAAATGCGATGCAGGACGTGCGGATTTTGTCTTCGATATCACCAGTATTAATCTCATGAATCGTTTAAACTGAAAGTGAGGTTTTAAACAGTTTATAACAAGCAGGTATGGAAGATGAATTAATTAATGAATAACATGCATAAACAGTAGAAATTTCTGTTTATTCAGAGTCCTTTAGTTGTATAGCCTGGTTTGCCTAGAGCTCAGAAACCTCATGTCTTGTGTTGTCTGACCTTGGGTGGTTTCTGACTGATATATGTAGCAGAGTACCTGTGTTTTGTGCAGAATGGCAGTGGACAGCGGACATGGTGACAGCACCGGAGACTGGGATGGACGCTGGAACCATGTGAGGAAGTTCTTGGAGAGATCAGGCCCATTCACCCATCCGGACTTTGAGCCAAGCACTGAAGTGAGAACTTTGTCAATGTTCCCTTTTTATATCAAGTAGAACCAAAGGTTTCTCAAATAAAGGTTTCATTGTAAAGCTTAGAAAGGATATCTGTAGAGTTATTTAATGATGTGAATTTTACAGGTTTAATCAAGACACTTTATATCATTAGCAAGAAGTAACTATGATCAGGCATAGGCGTGTGTGTGTGTGTGTGTGTGTGTGTGTGTGTGTATGCATACACATACAGTACTGTGCAGAAGTCTTAGGGAGTCAAAGGAAATGATGTTCAAATCATCTTCATGTTAGTGTAAAACTAATATTTTGTCTGTCAAATTGTATGAGTTTAACATTTTCAACAACTCTACTAAAATCACCCCCATATTTGCAGCAACTGTCCAATATGTATTTTTTGACCCGGACACTAGCACAGCTGGTATGGCTAATAAATACATATTGACTTCTTTAAAATAATTTAATTAAGTAAGTGAGCTGGATATAAAATGTAATGAATATATGGAATGGCTGGGGTACCTCTGAGGAGAGGTTTGGGAACCAGATTGGTGTTCATCTAGCCATCCCACAAGACAACAGTATCTTTGTGGCGAACAGAAGAGATTCCTGGTAGTTTGTATTGTGTTATTCTTAATAATGTAAAATTGTGTTTTTGTTTTGAGCAAATATACATATTGAGCAAATATACATACCCATATAATAGCTTTAAGTATTTCCTTTGACTTTTGTACAATACTGTATATATTTTGGAAACTTAGTTTCTAATGTAATTAACGGGATACTTCTCTTGTTAATAAAACTATTAATAAAATTATTGTCTTTATGTAAAATGATGCTGTTATCCTCAGCGTTGTATTAAACTTTTTTTTTAGTCACTTCAGTTTCTGCTAGAAACGTGCAAGATTCTTGTTATTGGAGCTGGCGGACTAGGCTGTGAACTGCTTAAAAATCTGGTATGGTCTTTAAAACTTTATCAGAAACGTAGCTGGACATTATACTGATTGTCATTGTTTCATGGCTTTGTTCTAAAAAGGTTTCAGGAGCCTTTTTTCCTGTAACATATTCAATAAAATAACGAATATTAAAATTTTCTTGATGGATTTATTTTTTTTGGTCATAAAAATATGAAGATTGTATCATGAGAAATGTTATAGCATCATTTAGTCATTGTGTGTGTGGCTGTTTCTGGCATCCCAGGCCCTTTCTGGTTTTCGGAATATTCATGTTGTTGACATGGACACCATCGATGTCTCAAACCTGAACCGGCAGTTCTTGTTTAGGTGAGGCCAAGAAGCTTTTTTGGTTTTTTCATTTACAAACTTTACAGTGTGCAGTTGTGGATTTGCAGTGCTAGCAAAGATGGAAGCATTGAGACTTCATAATTCATAGTAGCAAGGATTTATGTAAAATCAATTACAGCCTCATTTAATCCATTGAGGATTAATACAGTGGTCAAAGGGAAGGGAGAGACAGTGGACTGTAACCCAACCAACATCTTCAAAGCCTCATTTATGCCGTTTCTATGTGTTGCTGTTATGTGATTGCTGGTTGAGGTTTGAAAACAAACCTTGAAAATATCCAGCTTGGCTTTATCTGATTAATAAATGAATGAGCTATCTGAAATCATGACTGATATATGTACCGTACTTCAAGTTTCCTATATATGACATTGCTGATGTGATATGCCGTTTTGTCTCTCTTATCGTATACCACTATCAGATAAATTCAGTTTACTGTAATCCCTGCCATTCTGAATCTGTGGTTTTTTATATAATGTTTGTAAAGAGCTAAAGATGTTGGACGGCCCAAGGCAGATGTGGCAGCCGACTTCGTCAACAGCCGTATACCAGGATGCAGTGTGGTTCCGTATCCTTGGAAACTTATTCAGTATACATTCTACCACCAGATAAAACACGAAGCTTTATGTCACAATTTCCAAGATTTATTTTGAATATCAATAAATTTTCCTTAACAAAAACTGTTTCAGACACTTTAAGAAAATCCAAGACTTCGACGAGACATTTTATAAACGTAAGGAGTAGTATTGATAGCCTTTTGGCCACTTATAAGATTAAAAAATAAAAAGTAAAAGATTTTGTATTATGTGCCATTTGCCAAAATGATTAATCAAGATCCCTTTTTCATTTGATTGCCAGAGTTTCATATCATTGTTTGTGGACTGGATTCCATCGTTGCTAGGAGATGGATGAATGGAATGCTGGTGAGTAGTATTTTAAATAATACTAGCAGCTATATAAGTTGAGATTTATTTATTTATTTATATGTACTAAATGCATCACACTCTGGCTTTTGTCCTGCTCTACAGATGTCGCTGCTATCTTTCGATGATGGTGTTTTGGATCCAAGTTCCATTATACCCCTTATTGATGGGGGGACGGAGGGCTTCAAGGGGAATGCTCGTGTCATTCTCCCCGGCATGACAGCCTGCATAGACTGCACCCTGGAACTTTACCCGCCCCAGGTTAGACCCATGCAGATTAATCCGGCACATCATTCTCATGGAACCCGGTGTTTGCTAGGTTTCTGTTTTTTAGAGCCATTTGCCAAAATGGTTTTAGATTTTTGATCAATCATGTGGTCGGACTTAGTGTATCAGTCTGCCTGTTGAGTGCCAATGATTATACGTACATGTGGTATATGCCATTAATTACCAAGATGTGATTTAAAAAAAGAACATGAACAAAATACAATGTCCTCTCTTGTCCTATTGCCCTTTGTGCATCTAGTCTTTTTGAAAGCAGTGAAATTCAGCTTGTACTTGCTTGCAAGTAGTATTTTTGTTGGAAATGAATAATCTGTACATCACATGTTTAAGTTAGACCATTAACCAAATATAAAAAAAAAAAAAACTTGAATATTTTGGGAATAAAAATGCTGCAGTGAAATAGATTTTTTTTTGTATAGAGCAAACTACATATACATACTTTTTTGGTATATTAAAATTATTTGTTGCTCTGATGTGATGAGTTTTATACCATTTTGGCCAAATAGGTAGCTGAAACTGAAAACTAGATAAAACGTTTTTAAATCTTTCAACTTCTTGTAACCCACAATAAGCAATCAATGTGTATGCCGAGATGTATATTTTTTGCTAGTTTTGGTTAGTTTTGTCATTTATTTTTCCCATCTCCATAAATCTTTCCCTGGACTTCACCAGTGGCAAAATCGACATTTTAAATAATAAAGTATTGTAATTTGCATCTGTCATCAAAAAATGTGAAAAATTTGAGAAACTTGGTATGTTTATGTGTGTGGTGGTTACCAGTATTGCCCCACACCTCTGGGACCAAGTTTTTAGTCTCCGCCATGATTCAGTGTGTGGAGCTTGCATGATCCCCCCGAACCTTATCCTGGCATTTCCTGTGGGTACTCCAGTTTTCCCCTCACTGTCCAAAAAATTCACTCAGGTGAATTGAAATTGCCAAATTGCCCGTAGGTGTGCTTGTGAGTGAATGGTGTGTGAGTGTGAGTGAATGGTGTGTGAGTGTGAGTGAATGGTGTGTGAGTGTGCCCTGTGACGGGTTGGCGCCCCATCCTGGGCTGTTCCCTGCCTGGTGCCCAAAGCCTCTGAGGTAGGCTTTGGACCTCCTGCAACCCTGAATAGGAGAAGCGGCACAGAAAATGGATGAATGGGTGGATGGTATGTTGCAAAAATGAGTTTAAGGTTAGGTGCAATTAATCACAGAAAACCGTGCGATTTACTAATTTTTTAATTGCTTCACAGCCCTGATTTTTATATTACATAAATATGTAAAATATTTGATTTTTTTTTGCAGATTAATTTCCCAATGTGCACTATTGCCTCTATGCCCCGACTACCTGAACACTGCATTGAGTATGTTAGGATCCTTCTATGGCCCAAAGAAGAGCCCTTTGGGGGTAAGTTCCTAAGGTCCTCTGCAGTGATTTTGGATTATTACAAGTAATAATGAGATCTCTTTGTGAGAAGGTCTAGGGAAATTCTAAATACAAAATTAGTCCAGTTATTTTTATGATTATGAATTCAGTGGGTTTGGATAGTGGAGGAGAATATTTCGACATTTTTTTCATGATTGGTTACAAATGTATCCATGATACATATTTCAGAGCTATCACCAGAATCATGATACTGCATTTACATTTACTGGCAGTCCCCGGATTATAAAAGACTTGATTCCCTAAATCTGTCTTTAAGTTGAATTTGTTGGTAAGTCGGAAAAATAATAATGCAGCACATGATAAGAATTATACTGTAATAATAAAAGTAGCTACATACTGTGCTGTATGTTGAGCCGATGAACCACTGAAGCCATGCAGTTTTTTCATGATTGGTTACAAAGTAGTGTGTGTGTTTGTTATTACGAATTTGTTACGTATTACATTTAACTCGAATTTTCAATACAATAGTTATTACGGCAGTCTGTTGATAAATTCGAGATGTCCGTAATTCAGACATTCTTAACCTGGGGCCTGTATCTTTATTCAGCAGATGCTTTTGTCCAAATTGACATACACGTGCAGTAATACAACATTACAAACATTCGTGCTGTCGAAGTTAACTAGCAGCTAACCTGATCTTCTAATGAATGCTCAGTTACAAGTGTTGTACTTGTATTGCTATTATTATAACAAGTGAAAAAACAAGCTGGGGCCTCTCTTGTAATACCTGCATTTTCGGAGGCTACAACAGTACTACAAGAAAGAGACCGATGTGAAACAGAGCAATATCAGCCTCCATATTATCTCAGTGCTGTCTGTATATCTCAATTCTTTGTTAATTATGTTAATTTGTTAATGATCTCAGTGGGTCTCAACTTAGTGACTAAATCTTGAACTAAAATTGACTTAATTGATCTTTTAACGGTTAGCTAACTTGGTTAAAAACAAAAACAAAACTGAACAAACCAACTTCATGCCATCAGACTACTAAAAATATTGTACTTGTATCACATGGTAAACGACAAATGGTTTATAGACAGGTCGGCTGCGCTGTTGGATAAACAGTGTGTGCTGCATGGCTGATGAGGAAGCAGTTGATCCTAAAGAAGGTTCAGCTTTGGATTGTGTGGGAATGGTTTGTATTTGTGAAGTCTGATGTGTTAGCACCCCAAACATGTGAAGCGTCCGGCTGTGTATATGTGTCCTCAGCCGCAGCAACTTCCACACGGTGAAATAACAGAAGCAAACATTTCTTACTGGTGGAAAAAAAATCTAAATCTTACTAAATCTTATTTGATTTTTAAAAATGTATCCAGTATTTGTTTGTATTTGTTGTAAACCGAGTTCAGAACTGTGCAGTTATTGATCAAAGTGCTAAGTTTCATTTGTAGACATCTTATGAAACTTCAAATACTAAAAAAATAAAAAGCACTTTTGCTAAAATGAGTCAGTTTATTATATATATATATATATATATATATATACACATATTTTTGCATACTTTAAAAATTAAGTTCATTTTATGATGCTTTAACCAGTGTTTCTTGTAAGGATAGACTTGCTGGTTAAGTGATTAAATGGTTAATTACTACATACATTCCAAAACAAAAAAAAAAACATTGCAATCTATATCATGAATCGTGGTTCTAAACCGAAAATCATGATATGACATTTTGACTATGTCTGTGGTATTAGTGGTATTATTTTAATCAGTGGTGCCTTCAAATCTGCCCCTTTGTGCTTAGACGGAACAGCCCTTGATGGAGATAACCCAGAACATATTCAGTGGGTGTTCCACAAGGCCCAGGAGAGAGCCTCTGAATTCAGCATCACTGGAGTCACCTACCGACTCACACAAGGTGCGTGCATTACTATTTCATACTAGGCTTCTGTCACTATGAGTTAAGCTGCAGTACTATATGCTCTTTAGAGCTATATGTGTATAACCAAGTTGTGATGCACAGACTCCTCCCCACAGCAGGAATAAAAGCATCATATGCAGCTGGCGGCCAGCATGGGGAACCTTTAGCACGTCTGCCTTTCCAGCATTAGCACAGTTTCTGCCCTCGAGCTGCGTTTTCTGCTGAACGTGTTCACTTTGTTCTCAGGTGTGGTGAAGAGGATCATCCCGGCAGTTGCATCTACAAACGCTGTCATTGCTGGTATGTGGAGTATCTGTTACGCAAATCACATTTAGCACTTTGTATCATGTAAATGCCATAGAAAAAAAGTCATTTTCCTTTTTTCCTCCTCTAATCACCCTACTCTTTCAAATTAATACTATTTGTTTTTTGTCGTTTTACGTTAGACTGGAGGAGATAACCCAATATATTTCCACATATCAGATTACACTGTACTTGTACAATATTTCAATATTAGCATTTTTGTTACTTATTTTTTATTAGTAATACTCTAACCCTTCCTCCCCCCCAATTTTAGCTGCTTGTGCCATGGAAGTATTTAAAATCGCTTCCAGGTGAGTATGACAAGTTCTTTCATACTCCAAAGCAGACGTTCAGGTGAGATGTTATGTTACTGTAGAATGTATGTTAAATGTACAGCTTAATTATAATTTATCCATTAAATTTCTTGCAGTGCTTACATTCCCTTGAATAACTACCTGGTGTTTAATGACGTTGATGGGCTGTATACCTATACTTTTGAAGCTGAGCGAAAGGTGAGACTTTGCAGTGCTTAAGTTCACTTCCTCTCACTTAATGCCTAGAATTTTTTAAAGATTTTTTTTTTTCTGGCTTCAGGAGAACTGCCCAGCTTGTAGCCAGATCGCTCAGGACCTGCGCTTTCCACCTTCAGCCAAACTCCAGGAGGTCCTTGAGTATCTGACTGAGAACGCCTCCCTGTGAGTGATCTCGCTGAAGACTGAGCTTGTTTTACTCCGCATGTGTGGGTCTGAGGGCACATTTCTCTCTGGACTAGGGAATAAATTCCACTGTGTTTTTGTTTTTTAGACAAATGAAATCTCCCGCTATTACAGCAACACTGGAAGGAAAAAACAAAACGCTTTACTTACAGGTTTGCTATATTAATACAAGTATACTAAACAATACTATACCATGACTAAACAAATCCCTGTTTTATTTTATGATAAATTGTATGTCTTATGTAGAAGTTATTCTTTGTAATACATCTAAAAATTTTCAGACCGTGGCCTCCATCGAACAAAGAACGAGACCAAATCTCAGCAAAACGTTAAAAGGTAACAGTCCTTTAGCCAGTGTCCTCATGTTTCTAAATATGCAGCATGTATTTTGAGTGCTTTGAATTATCAGCATGCTCTGTGATTGTCTTCAGAGCTGGGATTGGTCGACGGACAGGAATTGGCAGTCGCTGATGTCACCACTCCACAGACGGTCCTCTTCAAGCTTCGTTTCACCACATGATGTTTTGGGGCGGCACCCAAAAAGTTCCGCTTAATGCACAAGCAAGAAGCAGTACTGTAATCAATATTCTCCTCCTACAGAAGATAGGAAGGACACAGCAATGAAACTTGAACATATTTAAATATATTTAAATGCAACTGTGTATATATAAATGATGCTGTGGCAAGTTCTTCATTATAAACCGTTTTGTATTAGGCCTGGCATATTTAACGTTTTACCAGAAGCATGGGCAACTCGACAAAGACACTGACATTGATATTTCACTTTGAAACAATTTGCAGTCTGGTCTCACATTAGACTTGAGATGATTTTCTATGCACTGAAAGAGCATAAGTAAAGAATTTGGTGTGTAATGTATGTAAGACCTGCCTTCAGCAGTGTACCTGCTACAGGTCAGGTGTTAAGCAGTGTGTGAAAATGGTCACTTTGCTTGTAGCTGACATTTACCTGTAATTGGTACCCTTGGCTTTCCAAAATTGTTCAGCTTAATTCTTTGTGTCTGTACTGGAACATGTAAATAGTTTACTGAGGCACTTGTGGATGCAAGATGTACTTAAATTAAACTTTCTGGTTAAACTTTAGATCTCTCTTTGCTGTGAATAGAGTTTTTTTTTGCAGCAGCACACGCAAATAGTGTAAATGCGATCAATGTAAGGCATTTCATCTTTAAAATCTAATCTAAATTAGTTGTTAGGTGTAGCTGTTCATTTCGAGCTGCTTTTTTACATTGAGAGTTGTGTCTTAAATAAAATCCTGCCTATTAATTAGACATGTTCTGGGATTGTAAGCCATCTATATCTTAATGATCCATCCATCTTCCATAGCACTTTTCCAGTGCAGGGCTACAGTGAGCCAGAAGCAGCACGTGTAAGTGATGCTAAGCCATCTCAGGGCACACACTTACTCTTAATACTCTTATGCTTACTCCATGGGTAACTGAGAGACGTGAATTCATATAACCACATCTTTTTTTGGACTGGGGGAGGGACTGGTGCACCTGGGGGAAACCCAGGGAGAAAATGTGAAAATGCAAACTCCTCACACACATCGGGAGTACAATGAGGGGTTTGGTTTATTTCAGGGGTGGGGAAGCTGATCCATGGAGGGCCGGTGTGCAGGTGTTTGGGATGGCCTCTCAATCAGCCAAAGACAGTGAGTCCCCAGGACTGGAGTTGAGAACCACTGCTTTATTATTGGCTGATTGAGAGATGATCCCACAAACCTACCGATGAAGGTAATACTAGCTTACGTGTCCTGAACCAAATGATATGGAAAAGGGAAAAATAGTCAGTATATGACCAATGAGTATGTCATTTTTTAGAGGCATCAGTCTATGTACAGGAATATTGATCTGGATTTTTAAATAATTAGTTGTCCTACATCAGCTAACACTGAGCCTGACTGCACTGCTCACAGCGCTAGACTGTAAGGGTTCATAGGCAGTATGTTGCATGATGGGTAAAGATAGTGCTGAGTGCCCATGAATTTCATTTCAGCATAATCCATCCAGGGCGGGTATGCGTGTCTGCAGGTTAAGCCTCTGAAGGTCGCTGCTTGGAGCCCTGACCTTGGTAGAATATTCACAAATCCTTGAGCAAGGCCCTTAACCCCCAGCTCCGGGGCACTGCACACTGGCTGGCCCTGCACTGTGACCTCCAAGCTTGCCCTCACATATATGTGTGTCTCACAGGGAGCAAGATGGGGGAGAATAATTTCCTAACAGAGATTAATAAGCTATCACTATTCTGTTCTTGTTACCGTTTCTTGGGTTTGTGGTTGAAAGAAGAACATGCATTCTAAATCCACTAGAGGGAGCTGCATGTCTTTGTGATACTTAATAGTCTTAACTAAAGAAGTCCTGCAGTTTGCTATAAGAACTGAATGGGGTTTAATGGGCACTAGGAGACATATTTCTACATGTCTACATCTGTACTGTGATTCTTATGGAGAAATATAGGTGTTTTTTCATATAGGGTATTGATGCAGGTATGTTGTTTTTGGTCAGTATGTTTAGAAAAGATGATGGGAAAACTAGCACAGATAATTTTAGTAATATTCCACAATTATTATACAAGTTGGCTAATCTCTAAGGATCATCTGGTTCTGGTCCCATCAAACTTGTGGATGATCGAGGTTGTGACACGGAATATTCTATAAAAGTAAAAAACACTGGCCAGAATTGGCCAGAATTCAAACCAAAAATCATTATTTTAGTTCTATGATAATATCTGTTATGGGTTAAAAGGTGGCTCAGTGGGTGGAACTGTTTCATCACTCCTCAGGAGTCTGCGGTTTGAATCGCACCTCTGCTCTTTATGTGTGGGAATCGTGTGTTTCTGCTCTTTATGTGTGGGATTCGTGTGTTTCTGCTCTTTGTGTGTGGCATTCGTGTGTTCTCCCTGTGCTTCCTCTGGGTTTTTTGATTTGTGTTCCTCTTTATGCCACCCAGGGTGTCCCCTACCCTGTACCCGGTGATGGACTGGCACCCCACCCAGGGTGTCCCCTACCCTGTACCCGGTGATGGACTGGCACCCCACCCAGGGTGTCCCCTACCCTGTACCTGGTGATGGACTGACCTTGATTTATGTTTCATTACAAGATCTATTTTCCTAAATGGTTATACTTAGAAAAATCTGTGCAACGAAGGGCTGAAGTTATAAACGGATTTTGTTATAAGCATTATAAGCACTGTTATCAACAGTGCACCAATAAATCAATGCAATGGGAAAGTTTTGCAGATTTGAGATCTTTCATGAAAGGCAACATAGACAAAACAGATTTTGAAAATGTAAGAATTGTCTTCTTGATTGTCCTAAAGTTGTTTTGGAGCCTGAGTTACTTTAAGGGCTGGGTTTAAAAAAATCAATTTCGTTTGCATAATCCGACATTGATTCATAGAATCTCAAGATCGAATTTTGAATGTATGCCTTTTACATTTTATGGCCTTTTCCTGTGAGTGTGTGTAGCTTTGACCCTGTTAGTCTCATGTGACCATCAAGTTTGTGTGGACAGACAAAAACAACATGCAGTGAGCTGCTCCATTGAAGGTACCGTCCAGCCTGATGTCTTGATGCATTTCTGATTCCAGAAGCATAAAGAGAGTGAAGAACAAGACAAAACCAAAGTCGTATGTAAAATGTGCAAAATTAAGGTGCAGTACTGTGGAAATACCACAAATCTCCAAACCCATCTTATGAGACATCATACAGATGCACAATCTGCAATATATCTCATCCAAAACCTATTGGTCAAATGAAAGGTTCATTATTGCAGCTGCTTTGGGTCAATTCTTAATGCACATATTCATATGTTTAATAACACACCAGCTTAGAGGGCTCCTTCTGCAATTTACAGCATTTGTTCTCTGCGAATCTCTTTGCTATCCTAACAGAAATGGTATTGTGACTGAAGTGTCCCTAATTGAATCGATATTGAATCTAATTGGAAATTGAATGGATTCAGGACCTTGTGAATCGGAATTGAATTGATTCAGTGACTAGGGCGATACCCTGCATTAGTAGCTGTCTACCTTTGCTACCTTGGTAAGGCAGAGCAGGTACAGACAGAGCTGGAATGTGATGTCACACTCAGCAGCAAATGACACACACTTACAATTATGAAATTCAGAGACATTGCCACTGTCACTACAAATGTCAGACAGCATGTCTTTGACTATACTACCTACTTTGACTATAGACGTACTACATTGTTAAACCTGTTCTCTCAGAAAAATATTAATTTAGACAATAGACAATATAGGACAAGATGTAATAGTTCTGGTTAACTGACAATGCACCCTGCTGAATTTTACAGTCAACTATGTCTTTGGATGATCCCAGTTCATCCCAGTTCACCGTGGATGAGGTAAGTGAATTGACAAACCAAAAAAGCAGTTTCAAAATGCATCCTGACATCAGTCAAGAAGTAATGATACAAACTGTGAACCATTAATATCTTTCTTATTCACATGGGAAGGCATGTGTTCATTTTCATTGAATTGTTCAGTATGCGAGAGAACCGTCAGGAAGAAAAGTAATTGAAAAGTTAAAGACAGGGATTTTTGGAGTGCTGCCCATTGTTGTAAAATCACAGTAATCTCTTTCTCTTCTAAATTCGGAACTGTGTCACTGATAAGAAAACACCATTATGACATTTTTTTCTAATTTCCCCCTGCCCTAAAAGCCATGGTTCTGTAACCAAAATGACAGGGTGGTGAGATTGATCCTCCACATAGTGTCTGCATCATCATCTGGCACTTCCTTTCCTACTGTGTGATATCAGTGTTTTCTTGTGAAAGAGCCTTGAAGCTTCTGTGGTCAGCTTCCCCTCTCCCTGGGGCTCACACTCTGCACACCATCTTGACATCAAAGTTCTAATGAACACTACCAAACTCTGTATTACATGCTTTATTACACACTATTGTCATTTTGACATGTTAAAGTGCTCTCTTTAACTTTGGAATATATTATCAACATGTGGCATACAGAATCAATCTGCATAATTAAATTGTGCGCAAGTCATCGATAAAGGCTGCAATTTCTCAAGGAAATCCCTTCTGTCACTGTGTAATTTTCTTGTGAGTGAAAATGAAAGGGGATTTAAATAATACATGAACATATGCTTGTAGCGCCTTTTGGTTTCCTTGTCTTACAGAGAGAAGCACTGAAGCACTGGTCATTTTTTCCCGCATATACTGGGTTTCTCAAATTCCTAGTAACCTATAGCATATTTAAATTCATACAACACTACAAGACTTTTCACAGTAAGGCTTCATCAGAGACATTGTCCATTTTAAAATATTCAGTAAAGCAATTAGCAGCTTTATAGGTGACAAAGATGATTTTTTTTAATTTTGGGAATTCCTTCACAATAATTGCCTGGATTCAAAATTTATAACATTAATTAATATAAAAAGACAACAAGAAGTAAAATAATGGCTGATCTAAACGTATATAAAAGATCTATCTCTAAAGAGAGATTATTGTACATGGCATACATAAGTGACCTTTGACTTCAAAACTCAAAATCCTCAAAAATCCCTTCAGCTATTCATTCAGAATATTCTATTCTATTCTATTCTATTCTATTCTGTTCTGTTCCATTGTATTACGCTTGGTTGCTTCATTGTTGTCCAAGGTCCCTGTCCATGGTTCATGTTGGATATCTCCATGTGCTCAGTCAATGAATCAATAGTAATACTGATGGTATCTAAGTGAGATGATCAGAAGATTTTAATGCTTTGTCGGTAAATTCTCCCCTCCATGAATTGCCACCTTATCGTGGTGGAGGGGTTTGTGCACTTCTGTGATCCTAGGAGCTATGTTGTTGGGGCGATTGCCCCTGGTACGGTCTCCTGAGGCATATTGGTCCTAAGTGAGCAGCCAGATTCTGTGTGATTCACATTGACCCCTGTAAAGACTAACAGAAAGGCTCATGTGACCCTGCACTAGACCCGAGCGCCTAGTGGCTGCGTCTCTACCCATGGGGTAGTGTGGTGCTGCTGTGGGGGTTGGGTGCAGTGTAGATCGGGTGGCAGTCGATGGCAGGGGCCCTGGCAGATAAATCATCAGCTACCAAATCT